CAAAGCAAGTGATGCACAGTGCAATTGCTCACCACCCACCGACCGATGCCCAGCCAGTCCCTGAGCAGCGGCCCCCCCGGCCAGCTTTCCCCCAGTTTATGTACTGAGCATGGCGTCACACGGTATGGAATATCCCTTGGGCCAGTTTGGGTCAGCTGTCCCGGCTGTGCCCCCTCCCAGCTTCTTGTGCCCCTCCAGCCTTCTCAGTCGGTAGAGCATGGGAAGCTGAAAAGTCCTTGACTAGTGTAAGCACTACCTAGCAACAACTAAAACATCGGTGTGTTATCAACATTGTTCTCATCCTAAATCCAAAGCCCAGCACTGTACCAGCTACTAGGAAGGAAATTAACTCTATCCCAGCCGAAATCAGGACAAACAACAACTCAAGAATAACATTTATATTTGCTTTCACTAGTTAAGGAATCTAGCTGCCTAGTACGACAGTAAGAAACAAATATACAAAAACAACCCAGTTCTGTCACAGGGCTGTCAAATTAAGACAGAAGTCCCAGAATCTCTCCTAGAATGCTTTGCTAATTTTAGTGCATGATAGTTAGACGTATTTACTTTCTTCCATGACACTTCTGTATCAATAAAAGCTCCAATAAAAATACAGCTTATAACAGAAATTCTTTTGCTGGAAAAGTTGATACTGATTTGGAGGATCTAATCATCTGTATGAACAAAAAGTACTCTTTGGCACTAGTATAACTACACAGCATTAGAGACAGACTGAAAAAGTTTTTCTAGGGTAAACTTCACCTCTCATATCTCATGTTAGGGACACACCAGTGCTTATATGCATAAAAGAAGGTAGAGGTTTTCATTATTAACTGTGACTGACCACATCCTGATAGAACATTGTAAAACTATCTTAGAAAAAAAAACCAAAAACCCACAAAACAACTAAACAAACAAAAAAAACCCAAACCCACCCCTACCCTCCCAAATTCTCAACTATGTATTTTACTCTGCTTTACCAAAAGGAAGTTTCAGAGCAGACTTCTTCCATTAGAAATACTTTTCAGTCCACATTCTAGTGACTTCAAAAGCACGTGACTTTTTACAACTGCTGTTCAGCTTCTCTAGACCCCAGGGAGGCAACACCCTCTCTTCAACAACTTCAGAGGACAAAGAAACAATGAGGCTGCATACTCCAGTGGCAAGAAATCACTGAACATCTGAAATGCAGGCAATTTCATCAAGTGCATAGTGCTTCTTCATTTGAGTCACAGGATTTTTGTACCTTGCCTAATCCATGAAGTTAAATAGCAACAGTTAACACTAACAATACCTGATCAATTCGATGAACTTCAGGAGGAAACCACCCAGTGGCATTTCACTCCTTTGGGCAAGTAACATATTTTGGCAACTAAGGGGTGTGATTTAAAGATTCTGCAAGGAGGAAGAAGTGTGTTTACTTAGTGGTCTCTGCAGTTTTGCATGTCGTTTGTTTTTCTGCTGAGGTAGCAAGTGCTTGAATAAGCCTTATAATAAGATGAAAGCTTCAGAAGTTTTTGCCTTCCAATAACAACCACATGTTTCCCTTTGAAAGCCTGGGATACAATAAAATAAAAAGCTCAGCTAATTTTTACTGATGCTGTCAGTTTGTCTTTCTGAAATATTTTAATGTTGCCTATTTTTTTGAGATACTTTTTGACAGCCTAGGTTTTAGGAAAGGTACAGTATGATTAACTAACCTTTGTTTATTCAAAGAGCTATACAAGTGCATTTACTGAAGCACCTAGGGCCAATACGGGACGCGTATCCACTGATGAAAGTCTCCACTCTCATAAGACTCAGCAACGGACAGGACACGTGAGCATTTCTCCAACCCAGCTTGTTTGGAGCTAGTCCCACACCTAGACCTACCTAGGGAACCCGGTCCCATACCTGCAGTCTACTCAAGTGCAATTGCCTCTCCAAAACATCTCTCTCTCAGTGGCTATCCCCCTTATGTCTTAGGCCTCTGGGTTGAAAATAACATGTTCTGGTCAGATAGGACTTCTGGTTTACAACAGCCCGGAAGCCATACATCATTGTCAACCTAGTATGAACTGTTACCAGTTGTGAGCTATGGCACAATCAGGAGGTCCACAGTAAAAGACCAAGACTTTCGGCTGGTTCAAAGTCGTTTTCAAATCACCTGTTAGTTTTGCAAGGCTACATTAAACAACTGAAATAAGAGATGAGAAGCAGTCTGCAGCTAGGGCAGCAGTTTTTATCAACAGAACAAGCATAGTTGCTTAGAAATCAGGAATTAAAGATGCAGTGAGTTTAGAAGTGAATTTAAAACCACAGAAGCTTTACCTTACGCACCTGAACTTTTATTTCTTTAAGAGGCAGTTAAAAAAATTCCCTAAAAACCTTACAGGCTCTCCCTGGCACACATTTAATCAACAGGCACAGTTCTGCAGTCTCTCACACTCTGCTTCACTGAGCAATCTACATATATTTCCTAGAAGTCAGTTTGCTTATCTGTATCAGAGAGGTACAACTACAAAGACAGCTTGCTCCTGTGGGGTAACAGAAATGTCTAGTAGATGAAAAACAAAAACATCATTAAGATACTTAACTCCAGCAGCTTCAGGCAGGTTATAAATTATGATCAAGACATTACATAACGAAATGATTCATTAAAACAAGTTCCCATTTCTTCACAAGTTAGTGCTAATCTTCAGCTAATATCATTAATCACACTGCACTGATTTTGAAACTTGGTAGCATTTTGTAGAATGCAAAATGCATTTGAAGCAGCAAAATAAAGTCTTATTTAGGATTTTTTTGGGAGAGTATTTATGAATATTTGCTCTAACATAATGATGTCACTGGGTACTGCTCTATTGGACATTACTATCCAGTCATAACATCTAGCAATTTGTAGAAGTAAACAATTATAGATATACAAAACTAAAACTCTACAATTCACTACAGTAGTGTATCACGTTTGACAAACATCAAAGTTTAAGTTAAAGTTTACAGATAAAGTTTAAGTACTGTGTCCAGTTCTAGGCTCCCCGGTGTAAGAGAGACATTGACATACTGGATAGAGTCCAGCAAAGGGCCACACAGGTGATTAAGGGACTGGAGCATCTCTCCTACGAGGACAGGCTGAGAGAGCTGGGACCGTTCAGCCTGGGGAAGAGAAGGCTCGGGGGGGGATCTCATCCATGTATAGAAATACCTGAAGGGAGGGTGCACAGAGAACGGAAGCCAGGCTCTTTTCAGCGGTGCCCAGTGATGGGACCAGGGGCAATGGGCACAAACTGAATCACAGGAGGTTCCCTCTGAACATCAGGAAAGCTTTTTTTACTGTGAGAATGACTGAGCTCGGCACAGGTTGCCCAGAGAATTTGTGGAGTCTCCATCCTTGGAGATATTCAAAAAGTATCTAGACACAGTACTGGGCAACTGGCTCTAGGTGGCCCTGCTTGAGCAGGGGCTTGGACCAGATGACTTCCAAAGGTCTCTTCCAACCTCAACCATTTTGTGGTTTTATATAGAAACATAATATACATTTTATATATATATATAAAAAATCGAATATAAAGTCTTAATATACACTGCTTTAACGCACACAAACATATAAGCAAATAGTTAGATACCAATACAAACACTAACTCAAAACCAAGGATAAATTCATTCATGTACACTGAATAATATGACTTAAATATAGAGCAACTACTTTGACAACTATAAATCAACTATGGAAGAGCACACTTGCTGAGATATCGAGATTTAAAGTAACTAAAGGCACACATGCCTTAAAATGGTGGTATTGTATAAGCATGGACCATGGGAGTGCTGAAAAAAAAAAAAAAGGCTTCCCTTCTCTAGTAAAGTACGCAAGGAAATCATACTGTATCATTGATGCTGTGTAGGGGGATTAGGGAAAGCTGCTCTGTAGGGGGAATAAGGAAAGCTGCTCCATTCTAAAACTGAAAATAAGCATGCAGACATTCACTTAGTTGTATTAGCAACGTTAATTCAAAAATGCTGTTTTAAAGAAACCACAGTGCTTGCCAAACTCTGGAAAACAAAGCCATTATGTTAGCATTTGCTCTGTCATCAGATGCAAGCATCTCTAAGGCAAGACATCAGTCTGCTTAGCCTAACACAGAACAGTAATGCCAGACCAAAAAAAAAAAGGGACTTGTAGAACAGAAAAAGATTAATGTTATTCTAAAAAAAAAAAAAAAAAAAAAAAAAAACATGGTTTGTAAAGTTTGACCCCTCATACAGTGTTTAACAATTGGAAATCTAGAAAGCAGAAACTTTCAGCAATGACTGCACTTGGTACCTCACCAGGATGCCCAGTTCAAATCAGATTCAAAAGAACTCAATTTTTGTTGGCAGTCTTCTGGATGAGAACCAATTAAACCAAAGTTTCCTAAAATAGGGTTGTAAGTATTAAACCACACAGCTAGTTATCTATGACTAAAACCCTAAGAACTGCATATCCCTATAAACTGTTGTTTTTATGACAAGATAGTAACATTTAATAGAGCAGCACACAATGACATCATCATGCTAGAGCAAATATTCATGAACATTCAAAGGAAAAAAACAAAAAGGGAATAAATTGGAAACAAGATTCTATTTTCTCTCTTTCAAAGAGGAGATATTTAATAAAAAAAAAAGTTATTCCAGATTTTTAAGATGGAGCTTGTCAAATTAAATTATTTTTAAAAAAAAAAAGTTCATTTTTTAAAATAATCAAGACTGTAAGAGCCTTGATCCCTAGCATTCCAACCACAATACTCCCAGCTTTCCTATTAAATACTTAACAGATTATACTAAAGAAAACTTCCAAACAGCATTTCTGAAACTTCAACTTGAAATAAGCGTAATATTTTTCCACAGCTTAGAAAGATAGAATGAAATCTTTGTCTTAGAAATAAAAGCTGAGTTAGAGTGGAAAAAAAACCACTATTGTTCGTATATTCTTTGTCTGAAAATGCAGTGCTAAATTCAGAAATCAAGTTCCTCCGACTTCTTACCTTATCACTTTTTTTCCCAGATTTCTTCTTCTTAGGATTATCCTTCCAAAGAGATTCTACAGCAATATATCCCTGAAGACTCCAGTCATACAGCTGTGTACCAGCAACCTTCAAAACACAAGATATTAGAAAGCATGAACTTAATAATCTGGGAAATATTATTTTGCTTCTTGTTTAAGTGAAAAACGTGTCAAAACACAAGATCTTTAACATCTTCCTGTTCAAGCTCAGGGTGTACAGCATTAATAAACATCTTGAAAAAAATGACACATGAGGAATAAGAAAAGCCAACTTGCTAAAAAACTGTTTGAAGACTACCTGAAAATATATCTATATAAAAAGGGGTGGAATTATGCTGCATGGAAACAATTCTGGTTTTCTTAGTATTCGACATTCCAACAGATTTAACATATGCAAATTATTTCTTAATTTGACCATACTCATTTTAAAGACCAAAAAAAAAAATCCCCTACTTAGTTTGTCACTATTTTGCAATTTTACATTTTCACTGCTTTGACAGAACAGTAAGAGTACTCCCCTTTGTTTCTTTTTATTTGCTATTTAGAAGAAAGACCTAATTTGCTGATAGATGGCTGTAATGAATAACCAGCTGTCAACTCTCAGAACAGAAGACAGCTAGGAAAGACAGTGTTTGCTATATTACACCAACAGGTAATTTTACAAAAGGAAAAATCCCTAAGTCTAACAAAAGAGTATCTCCTTCCCCTTACATGATATAGGAACTGTACTATTCATAGCATCCTTTAAAACTCCGGAGTGTTAGGTTTTTACAGCTCCAGGCTCAGGTCACTTTCATATCACTATCAGTTTTCTTACAAATGAAGAACAGCAAAAATGGACAATTTGCCCAGCTAGACAGCTATCAAACTAAAAAACTTATGAAATCAAGAAATAAGAAGGTATCACCCTATCTCCCACAGCAGGCAAAGCTGGAAAACCAAAACTACGAGAACAGAGCAAGCATAAATGATGTTTCTGAAACAGTTTCTGAATGAAATTTTTAGGTTTCTTCCAGTCTCCAACAATTTGCTCCTCAGAGATTTCCTGAGCCAGAGGTGATTTCTGTGTGTGTAACAATGCCCAAGGAATTTCCCTCCTATGAACTTGTTGCACTTCCCCTTGAACCCCATGCAAATTTTTAGCATCCACAACATCCTGTGCCAAGGAGTTCTACCACTGGGCACACATGGTACAAAGAACCACTTCCCTTTGTTTGTCTGAACAAAATTAAGTACACCGGTTACGTACCACAATGGTCAGAGATGCGCTTCTGGGCAGAGATCGTGTTACTACCTTACAGAAGAGGCTATTTAATAATCAGAATTAAAAGAAAACAAACCCAAATCAGCAACTACATTTCCGAGTCACAACTAAATCCAAAACGTAGGCTGTTTTAAATACGAAGAGCTAGCATATTTGTCACCACATCTGACAATTACAGTTGTATTTTGGTTATAAACAAGTCTGTATGATGCACTGAGTTTTCTCTATATTTGAAGGTGATAAATGTCATCAGAAAAAAGCACACCAACTGTTCCAGCAATGAATGTGTTAAATCTCCAAAATCCCTCAATTCAAACATTACAGGTATAAACAGTTACCTTCTTTTTCAGTATCAGGAGTGTTCATTCTCAAGTACTTCAACAAACTAGTTTTGAAAGTCAGAGGAGCCTATGGCTCATCTGGAAAAATAGTTATCAGTTGTGCAAGCAGTACAAACCTACCAGGACTGAATAACCACCACAATAAACAAACAAACAAACAGAGGTGCTTTTTGTCTGCAGTGTTACTGAGGACAGCTATCAACACAAAATGAGAAAAACCAACAACTATCCATAAGCCTTTTCTTGTTCCTGCTTAAAAATACTCCATTAAAATACTTAAAAACACTCTAAATACCTAACAGAATAAACTTAAACATATTCTTATTATAGGAGTCATATGACCAAGTGAATTATGAATTGCACTAAATGAGAAACCAGTCATTCACGTTGCTGGAGTAAAGTAGCTACATCACAAGGTACGGCAACCCAGATAGTTTAGTCTGCCACAGTCAACCAATGTTTCAACACTGTACACACCTCCCAACAGCTGGGACCCACACACACATTCACAGCTCACGTGGGTTGAAAAATACAATTCTAGACAGACTGTAAGCTGCAAGTTACAGGGTCAACAGGAACACAGCCAAGAAATTTTTATAACCAACCAATGCATCCTCTCATGAACACAACACAAGAGTCATGCATTAGGCTTGTGTTTTATACCTCTCTTTCTCATGGTGCAGTTGAAGAGGAAGCAGGTGGGTACTGCAGTTGCCACCACTATTCTTGGGAGTGGCAGTTCCAACCAAGAAAAGTAAAAGGAACAATCGTAATACAAACAGTTCATTCAATTGTTCAAAGTGTTCATTTCAACATTCATACAAAGAGTGCCTTTCAAAGAGGGACAAGTTTTTCCATTCAGTCATCTGGAATTCTTAATTTCTGGAAGGTAACAATTCCCAGCTTGTTTGTGTTAAATTACAACATGCTAAAATACCACCTCTGTTCAATTCAACACTAAGTAAGTTTGTATGCTAAAATTTGAACAAACAAGTTCAAAAGTCAGACTGAGTGGTTCTCAGCAGGGACTCTGAAATAGTTTGAAAGTGACCTTGGGCCACAAACACGCGTACTAGGCGCTACTGGGGTAGCATCAGCCATCTCTAAGGCCTAATGTGCATGTAAACAAGCTCCCATATTTTAATTCCACACAGGACCATAAACATATAATATTGACTATACCGTACGTTATATGTCAAGATCATCAAGCAGAATTATGGCTAGCAATGCTTTATCTACATTGCATGCTGAGAAACCAAACTGAGAATCTGCTGGCTTTTCTACATTTATATTGTTAACAAAGTAGTCATAGTGCAATTTCACAAGCATTTCATTCTGCAGCAAACATGGACCAAGTGACTCCAACTCCTTCTTTTCAACCCACAGTTCCTGTAATCGTGTCACGCTCTCAGTTGTGCCAATACAACTGTTTATGCCTTATGGACTGAACTGGGCAAGGGATGAGGTCTAGGTTCAAAAGACAGAAATAATTTAGTTTGTTGTCAAAGAAAGAAACACGTATTAGGAAGCTTTTCTTTCTTTCAAGAAGAAGGTAAGCATAACACATACTACTTTAGGAAATTTGTGAAGTTCTAATAACAAGGAACAAAAATTAATTCTAATGATAAAGAGACTGATTTAAGTAACTTCATAATGGAAAGTTTTTTCCAGATGGAAGATAAGCCACAGTAAATACAAAATATTTTGAATGTATTATGATTAGCTGGAAAGCAATACAGTTCCAAAACAGTAGTTGAAGTTCCACCAGAACAAAATAAACTTTAGTCTTAAATTCAGTTCCCTTACCACATATACAGTCTGACCATTTGTTCAAAGTTATACAAATTAAAGTAATACTAGAAGTGAGGAAATAAATCCCTTACAAATTTGTGATTTATTAGAATGATTACTAAAGCAGGGAAAAAAAAAATTAGTCTGTGCATTTCTTCCACCTCCAGTTAGATGAACAGTGTCTGAAAACTACCTATTAGCAACGATGAACTCTGTTGCTATAACTTCACTCAGCAACTCATACATTTTAATTAAAGAAAAAAACTTTTCTTCAGACAGATGCATCAAGTGTTGCACCTCAACTGCAAATATATTTTGCTGTGTTTATTTCGAACTCTCCAATGGAAAGTCTTTAATAAAGGTGGGAAGGGGAAAAAAAAACCCCAAACAAAAAACAACACCCAAAACTTTTTTAGTCTTTTAAAGTATGGTCAAATCTGAAAGTTTACCACACGAAGGGAACTATACCACTGTAAATGGAAAAGCTGTGATGAAGTACTCAAATGTGGAAGAAAAATAAAAAGAACCTAAGAATAAATAAAAAATGTAAAATTTATGTTCCAGAATACTTCCTATACTGTTCTATTAACTTGGCAAGTGAGCTTTGCACTGCCGGCATCCCTTTCTAGGCTTACAGAAATTTTTTGAAAGGCCTATGAAACATTTCAAAATAATTACTAGAGATAAAAGTGCTTCCAATTTCAGATTAAAGCATAAAATTATGGATAGTAAGATCCGATATGCTTAAAACTTTGCTCCTTTAAGAAAAGAAAAGCGCAAGAGAGATTAGAAGAACCAAAACAGTATCTAGGATATCACTCTCTCCACAGAAGTTTTCAAACTCATATGTCTAGTGTCCTGACCAAGTCAACAAAGCTAAACCTATTCCAGTCAAGTTTCAGGCTCATGGTCTCATATCAGATTTTTTGTTACAGTCAAACTAAGAACTGTGAATTAATCAAAGGGCAATCATGCACTTCAAAGTTTTCGCAAAATAAACAAGGTATTGTGAAGCTGTTAGTAGCAAATCCATAGTTAAGACTGAACTGAGCTTCTTTAACAACAGTAACATCAGTTTGAACACCATTCAATCAATTCCCACTCCACCGTTCAGAAGGCAACTAGAATTTCAATACACAGTTTCCAACAGAAATGTCTAAGCTTCTTAAATTTTGATGTTTTTTTTCCTGCCACTTGCATAATTTTCACTCCCTGAAAATAAGTCAACAGAACTATCTGTATTTAGAGCATCTGAATCCTGGAAGCACTAAAAAAAGATTCCATCAAAGATCAGCGTGTCACCATGCTGGCAGAGTTCAAACACAGCGTTTTTGACTCTCCCTAAATCAATGACCTTTCAGTTTTCAAAGAACATCATATGTTCTTGAGAAAATCACATTTTCATCCTGTCATCTCAGTGTCATTCACAAGGTACCAATAACTGGATAGCCAATTTACCAAAGCCTGAAATATAAAATATTTCTGACACACTAAAATATGTGCACCATGAGTGGTTAAAAGCTGGATTTGAAAAAGAACGTGGTGGAGAACTGAGAAATCTGCCAGTACAATTAAGTGTGGACAGCAAGGCACATGAACTGACATCAGTAGGGGCTGTAAGCAATTGACTGGTCTCTTCACTTCTTTCTTTCACAGGAAACCCACTGAAGCAACTGTAAGTTATCATGTTTCTTATGTGCCTGAAACAACAAATGCATAAACAGGAAAGGCATCCAATAAGCAGCAGAATTCTTACCCCATTCCAGAATGTGCATGCTATCTTTCTTAAAAAACTATCCAACAAGAAGCATAAAACTTCAATAACAATGTTTACCTCAGAATGTTGTTCCTATGATTTCTCTATAGAATGTCCCCTTTTTTTTTTTCTCTTCTTTCTTTCTTTCAAACGCTGTTTTCATTTGCTCTCAAGATATTTCAGGCTTCCTTAGTATTGTAAGGAAACGTGCAAACTGCACTTATAAGCATATTTACATTAATTTATAACTACGTGAGAGACTCAGAAAGGAAATTACGTTCCTCAAACTGAAGACACTATTGCAGATATCAGGGGAAAAAAAACAGCCAGTAAAAGAAACAGAGTATCTGACTGTCTTTCAGCCTAGAGTGCATGTTCTTTGACAAAATAACTATTATTTTGTTAAGTGCCAAGCACACTGACAGGGCTTTTAAAAATGGCTTACCAGTTAATTTGAAGGTAGGAGACAACAATCAAAGTAAAAAACACTTCTCCAAAGAAAGGTATCATCACTGACCTTTGCAATAGAAACCGCCTGCTGAGGGTAATACATGGAGGCACCAATACCCATGAGACCTGCAGGATATACTAACTTCTTTATTCTGGAGCCTGTTTCATAACAACAACAACAAAAAACCCAAAACATTGTTAGAGTATATGTTAACCAGGACAGCTGAATGGCCCTACCCTTTATTTATAATCAAAACAATTTTATTAAATACAGTTTAGCATATTTTCTGTTCAGTCCTACTGGTTTCTGAAGAAACATGGTTACTCTGATCAGTAATTATTCTTTTCTTTATTATTACATTTTCAAGAGAATATTTTTATTAACATCTTTCCATAGTGAAAATTACCTTACAACTATATTTACTGTAGTAATACTTAATTTATTTCAGTACTGAATAATGAAGTAAAAGCCACAGTTAAGAGATATTTAAGAGAATTATACCAACTGATATTCTTTTCTAAACTAAAAGGAACAACTCGGGCAAAGAAAGGTTAGGATAGCATTCTTTTGATACATCAAGCAGAACAAGAGACGTTCCAATACAAACTTTATAAGTTACCTTGACTCACAAATATTGATTCTTCCACAACTGCTCTTATGAATAATTTTTCTTGATTCACTATAGCAATTTGCAAAGCATTTGAAAGTACTTTTGAACTAAAGTACTTACAGTTATGCTATATGCCTATTGCTGAGTCCCCAACCAAATTTTGAACATTTTAATCAATTTGAACTCTCTATTCAATTATACAAGTCTAAAATAATTTAACTGCCTGAAAAGTTCATCCTCTTATCACAGCTGGCCACAGGTTGTGTATCCTGGCCAGCCAGTGACAATACGCATCACTGAATCCGTTACAGGGCATGCTGCAGTTTATCCAGTCAGAAAGGAACACAGAAGGGAGCAGGTAAAGGAGACAAGCAAGCAGTACAGGAAAAAAAAGGTCATAGAACAGACGTACAGGAGTCAGGGCGCAGTAGTTCTGTTCCTCATAGAACAGCCTGTTCTATATGCGAAGCCACACATGCTTCTAAATAAAGGAATAATGAATTTTGAAGAGGAAATGCATATTAGAAGTGTTTAGTGTTTCCACTAACGTATGCTCATGATGAGACGAGAAACTTCGCAGTAAACGAGACATTCATAAAGCGATGTTGCTAGTCTTGTGAAGAGGGAACTTGGTACCAATTAGCTATAAGAAAGCACAGAAAAGGCAAGCTTCATTGCATCTCTACAACAAGAAAAACTACACTATTGTTGGAATTTCTGGGAATGGCGAAATCTTCCTTAGCGATAGCTTATCAGCATGCCTACAATATCACTTCAGGAATAAAGGTAAAAGTTGAAGATATTAATGCCTTCCAGCAGGCTGCTAGCTGCTGGAGAAACCCATTAGAGAGAAGTTTAGGAATACTCCCGTGTCCATTCCAGTACTACTCAACAAGGTTAGAACAAATTATCTTCAACAGCATTTTAAACCAAGTTGGACGACTGCACAGTATTCACATGATTCAACTCTGAATACTGTACTTTCTACTTTGTGGGCAGCTGCATCTTCAAGTGTTATGGTTAGACCTGGAAGATTTTATCTGTACCTTCCAAGAGGGCAATTTTTCCAGTGAGACCAAGGGGGGGGAAGGGATAAAAAAAGAGGACATTTAGTTCTAACTTTCTGCAGCATCAAAATTAAGGGGCACTTCCTTCTACAGTTTGAATACTTTCTGGAAAGTACAGCCAGTATTGTAAACTATAAACAGACAAAAAGTTTTAAAATTACGGCTCCATCCTAAAAGACTCACAACTCAGACATTTGTATTATGAGGGATTTTTATTAAACTTAGGACCCTCTAATCTTTCAGATCCAGCCCCAAGACTGCACTTTCCCCTCTCCCAGTTTTGCTACAGTCGTAAAGGCTGGAAGCTGATCTCATTCATAACAATGTAACTCAAGAAGCAGGAATTTGAAGAGAAAGAACTTCAAATGAGTGAAGTTGGAGACCTTGATTTTCATTAAAAAAAAAAATGCTAGGGAAAAAAAAAGAGTACTGCTTTCATCATCTTCACTGGAAAATTAAATATTTTGAGGAGTGCATATATAAGTGCATATATTCACAGAATGCTTTCCATTTCTACATAGCCAAGCACACGCTTCCAGTTTGTTCAACATGTACGGGCCCCACAAAGGTGTATTTTTATCCAAAGCAAGTCCTCACTAGTATTTAAATTCTAGAACTTTACAGTTCTTTACAAGTTTTCTTCTTGTGTTACTATATCTCAATACAAACACAAAATATTTTTTCACAATTAACATTTCTTAAACAACATTTATTTCTATGAAAGCATAAACATATCAGTTTCTTCAACTAGTGTGATGAAATTAACTGTCTCACATTTCTAAAGCACAAAACGTGCATGTATTTATAGTACACCCAGAGTTCAGACGTATTTTTGCTGAATATCACCATCTGCAGCAGCTCTGTGCCTGGACACGCAATACTTGGAAGGAACTTGAACATACAACTAATTGTACACGTATCATAGTTCAGGAACCTCTGTATTTTACCATAATTTATTCCTCTACAGTTTCTACAGCGACATGTGTGATCAAGAACTTAAGTAATTAAAAAGATTTTTAGGCTAAAAAAAAATCCTTTCCTACTTTTGCTATAATAATCTAGAACTGGAAAAGATCAAAGACTAGATTCCACTAACAAATACAGTATTCATAAACAATAATTGATGGTTATTACACACCTTTTACATGAAGTTTCTTTATAATTGGAGGAACATTGTAGAAACATGCTTGTACAGTTAAGTCAGATCTCATGCGTCACAATTAAAAATTAGTATCCAAAAAACACAAATAAATTAGTTATCCCAAATCATAATATAAGCAGTTCAAAAGGTTCCCACTTACCTCTAGCAAGAAACAATCCAACAATTCCAGCAAAACCTATCACACCAAGCCTTGGATAAAATCCAGCAGGGGGGTTTTGGAGAAATTCACAGCCCTCTGAAAAGAAGTCAGAACAAAGTGCTTTAATGTAATGTGAAAGTGTTTTTGTGATAAGGAATCATCACTACATGCTGGCAATTGTTACAAAACATAAAGAGTTATCAAAACACATTTAACTATCATGCACATTTTTGATCTGCTGGCATAAAATTCAAAGCCTTTGAGATCTTCTCTAGTGACACATGAATGAAACTGAACATCGTATTGTATTTACCAATTTTCATAGAAGCTTTTGCCTTTGCTCCTGGGCCATCTGTTTTGTTTTGCTCTTTTGCATCTCGATTATATCTTTTTCAAATTAGTGATAAACACCTTTGCAAAATGGATTCATACATTTACATGTTAACATGAATTAGTTTCAGTAAAACACTGTACAAAAAACAAATCACAGAACAAAGGGAAGACACAGCATAAACAAAGCTCACTCCAAGATGGGAGTCTGATGGGGGAATGGAAAACCATGAAAAACCTTCCATACAAAGGAGTTCAAAAGACTGAGACTGTTAAGTTTAAGGAAGAGAGGCAAAGTATCTGAAATGAGCTCTAGATAGCATCCATGCTCAGTCCTGATGAGCTTAAGTATGAAAAGATGCTTCCAAAAACAAAAATAAATACATGTTATTTTGGATCAATTCAAACTTCTTAGGACATCCAAGGAAGTAAACCAAAATGAAAAGGCTAAACATAACTTGTTGCAAGCGTTAGGTCTTTTGTTTGTAATAAATATTGCAGGAAGTTTCAGTTACTAGGCTGGGTCAAGCAAATACTACCGACTGGGAACAAATTGGGAGGCTTTTTTTCCTTCTTTTCCTGCATAACTGTCATTTTTAGTGACACTGGTCAACATAGATGCAGGTCTCAGATTTTAATTGTTTAGAAATGTAGTGTCATAATGACCTACAAAGGAAATTTAAACAGATATACAGTGAAAATAAAGTAGTCTTAAATGCATTAGAAATTATATATATAACGATGCTTAATGGAATTCCCTTTTAACAGAAGATATAGTACAGTCCTGCATTTTAAATTGCTAGTTAAGAAAACTAAACTGATTTACCTCTACCATGCTCAACAGCTTTTTCTAATTTGGGCATAGCTTTGGCATAAAGATCCTAAAAAAAAAAAGAAAAGAAAACAACAGTAAATAGATACCAAGTAAGTAAAATATTAACTACAGATGGTAACTGACCTGACGGGAAAAAAAAAAAAAAGAAAAAAGAAGACAAAAAAAAAGTGTTGGGTCCCTAAAATAACATCTTTTTATTCCCACTTCCATCCTTCACCTACAAGGCTATGCTGCTCAACATTACATTTGGCATAACATACAGCTTTTTCTCAAAGTAGTCTTTGGACACAGGTGAAATATAGTACCTCAAAACACAGAAGTCAACTTCAATATTTCATTGAGTTCCTGATCAGGTAGCTGAAACTCAGGATTCTCTCAGGTTTCTCAGTGTACATATGTATCACAAAAATACTTGAGCTGATGCAAAGAAAGGAAGTACAACACTGTAATAAACTCCTTCCTAGCACTTCACAGGAGTACATGACACATTCTGCAAGGTGATAAATTCTACTCTCCAAGAGACTATCTTAGGCTAACAAACTGCATTTTTGAAGTGACTTGGAAAATGAGATGTCCATACAATGTCCAAAGCAAATCATCAAAGAACACTGCATCAATGCCCATACAATGTCCCAAGTAAATCAAAGAGCACTGCATCAACCCCACAAACTAGTTCTAGATTTTTTTTCCTCAGACTGAAAATATGCAGGAAGTAAAGAATTCACACTGCCTTTCACCAAAGTAGAAAAAAAAAAATCTCAGTAAGAGCAACGCTGCTAATTGTTATTATGCTAATAATCCTTCGGAGAGACAGTGTAAGACTGTCTATCAATTAGGGAACAAATTCATAAACATGTATGCCCAAAGCTAAAGCAGAGAATGGTCTCGCAACACCACTTGAGCGGTATCTGTGCAGAAGTGAAAGCATTTGTTTAGGATACTGCATGGGGGATAATATCTTTAGAACTTTCATTTCCTCACTGGCAAGAATGACTTAAAAAAAAAACTTGTCAAAAAAAAGCGTTAGCATGTGACATACAACATAACTCTAAATGGATGTTGGTCTTATTAAAAGCCAATGAAAAAAGAACATGCTCTGAAGACCCCAGAGGCTAACTCTGATCTTCTGTCACAGCTCACACATAACTGGCTCATTTCTACACCTGTGTTTTGAACTGACTTTCCACTACAGTTAAGCAAGCAATTTTGAAAAAGTAAAATGGATATGCAAACTTAACCAATTTTATTCTCATTATCTTGGGTTATGTTTTTAATTTTAAAGACAACTGAGACACACCTAAAATGTTATTTTCTTTAACATATCAGGGGGTGCAGGCGGTGTAAAACCAAAATTATCTCTGACTACAGTTAAGCAAGCGAGATGACCCCAAATCCATACAGTTTACATGCCCACTTCATAAAATGAGTCAGTAAACCACTGCCAGGAAATGGCTTGTTGTGTGTGAGCAGAAGAGCACATCTTATGTAAATGATCACCACGCAGACAAAAAAGAAAGCAAATAGGAAGACAACAGGCCAGTGAGACATAAAGCACTGCTCAAGGCTTACTTGCAGTCAGTCCAACTGGGCAACTTAACCTCATCTCAGATTTCATTCCCAGTTATGGGTACCCACAGGCAACCAAACAGAACCCATGTGTTTAGGAGGTCAGAGCTCTAACTGTACTGTGGAAAATCCCCCTTCTCCTTCAAAACTGAAGTCAGTACCCCTGCTGGTGGCACTTTAGAAACACGTCACTAGACTGAAAAAATGTTTCAGTACTGTTAAAGGTTGGTACCACAACACAGAACTTCTAGGCAGAAAGGACACCCTGATCTGAACAGCTTGGCTTTCTATGGATAACTGGAAAACCAGCTTGCAGCTTAAGAAGAGGATTCACAACAGCCAGCTTGCAAAGTAGAGAATCGCCTAAAGTTGCCAAGAGGCAATCAGATGGCAAGGATGCCCTTGCTTCCAAAGTAAGCCTCAACATTCGCTGGGTCAGGAAAGAGCAAGAAAGCCATCACATGATTCTGCAATCTAATATCAGTAATTTAGGCCTTGATTACAAAGACCTTGGTGTTCCTCTGTGCTCCAAAGACTATTTTTGTATTTAATGACTGTTTAGTATAAACTTGCTACCTAATAAAACGTATAAGAAAATTTTGGGGTAAGGTCTGGGGGCTAGGTTTGCCACTACTAGTGGCCTGGGATTCTTCTTCTCTTCCAGAGAGCCACGTTCCTTCCTTCAACATTCCAGTTCAGCAAATACTGATTTATTTTCTGCAAAGTTGTGTTTTGTCAAGCTGCAGTGAGGACAACTCGGTATTGCTGCTCCAAAACACACTGCTTGGTAATTTAAGGCCTTCTCCTTGAGCATGGGAAATGTAAATTTAATCACTCTCCTGTCTTCCTCAGTCACAGGACAGTACCAAATCCAGATATCCCCAGATATCTTTAAGCTTAAAGTTTATTTCAGATAATGATTCTAAGCTTTAGTTAATTTTCTTTTAATTCTTTTGGAGGGATACGAAATGTGAAAAAGCAGGGGTTTAGTTCAGCAAATCAGTAGAAAGAAACTACTGCTTTTGTGTGAGGAGGGGGTAAAAATTATGACCCGAACTGTGGAAAATTTTAAGTAATGCAGCATTTTAGAAAAATGCTTGTACAGCTATCAACTTTTATTTTGCTGCTAACTATTAATTCTGTCCCTAAAAAAAAAAAATCCCAGCTCAACCCTTATCACTGAACCACTACCAGATGTGATATAAAACCATTATACCTGACACCAGGCTGTATATGGTTCCATAACATGCCGTAAACGCGAAACCCCCTCTTCCAATTGGGTTTGTGGATTCTCCACATATTTAGTCTCACGAGCTGGAGAGGAGTAGAGTGACAGCTGTGAATATTAGCAAACAAGAGGTTAAAAACAAAGATGTAATTGTGTAAGTAGGTCTTCAGGGCATGAACAGTCTAACCAGAGAACAGCTAACACCGGGCTTACTACATAAACAATGCATAATAAAAATTCAGGCACAGCTGTGAGACAACCATTATGAGCAAAGTTTAATTATATACTACGATGAAGATGACTTCTAATTGCTATGCAATTCATCCATAGCTGCTACATGATCCAAGTCACAGGTTATAAATTAATATTAAACTAGTTTAATAAGAACACAAAACATAATTGTGAAAAATGTTTCTTGTCTTAATCAGCACTTCTGGTTCCCAGTTAACATGCTAAATGTACTAGAACTCTGAAATCACAATCGATCATTTCCTATATTTGCACAAGCCATCATTAAAGAGTCTAAGCAGCTTCTAACAAAGGTAGCATCCGATACAAATTTGTCTGTCTGTTACTGAGCAGGAAAATGGTACAACATCCCAATGTTGCAGTCATTAACCACATCAGCAACTGACAGCATTAATAGCACCATGGGGCTGAGCAAATAAGAACTGTAACATCCACCTGAAGAGCAATGGGCATCTTCACATAATAAATACTAAAAGACCGTATTTAGGGTTTAGCTTCACAACCTATTTATTAAAATTACCTAAACTTATTTAAAATTGTATTCCATTAAAAAAAAAAAAAGACCAAAGTCTATACTGCTGAAGATGAACAGCAAAGTTTAGATCAAAACAAAGCCTGTTAAAAATCCTAGCAGTTTATATACTACGCTGATATTCAGTATAAAGCGCTTATATTTTATACCACATTTATACTACCTTTAGTAGTTTATTATAAACTGATGTTTACAGATATTGTTGCATCAAAGTGTAGCTAGCCCTCTTTTCAAGGTAAGTTGGAAAACAACTGTATCTCTATCATAATAAAAAAAGCCGCTAACTGTAACAAAATATATAATGACATAGAATTTGTTAAATAATTCAGTAACTCGTGCAGCTGGATTTCCCATAATACTTTGAAAGACAGGCATTTTAAGTCTCATTTCCCTAAGAAATCTGGTCAACTCTGGCAATCATAGTCACAATCAGTTTAATTTTGATCCTGTTAGGCAACCTAACAGCCACGTCTGGCACAAGGATAGAAGTCTCAGAGATAAGGAAACTCCCATACATTTTATGAAACTAGACAGCTGACAGTAGAGATCCAAGCTAACATACACTGTGAATTTTAAGAAAAGCAGCCAAAACTCCACAGCTTGCACATTCTGCTTTGCTGAAGCTGATGGGCAAGCCAATTATTCAGCACATATGTAACTGCTGCCCCATTACTGACTCATGCCAGTGGTGGTGTAGGGCACGCAGCGGCCCAAGCTAAGGTTACTTCACTGGGGTGAAGCCAGGAGACTGCTTCAACTATTGCTCGTCTCGTATTATGCAAGTGAACTGCACATGCAGACATATCCAAAAGACCCAAGTATACGGAAAAATTAAGTTTCATTTAGTTTCACTGCTAAGGTAGCAACACTTCAGCTTGGTTTGACGCACTTAAAACTTCTAAACATCTACAAACTCTCATGGATATAAAGCTGTATTTAGTTATGAACTACAATTTATTTTTTTTTAATGGTGGAGACTGTTAAAAGCCTATGCAACAATGCTGGTGAGTCTACAGTTTGACAGGGTGTTTTAAAGCTCTACTTATGATATAACCAAGACATTTGAAACACCCTAGAGAAACAATAAAGTAACAGGCTTTTATTATCACTACTTATTGTATTTGTTGTTGCTTAGGTCTGAATGCTGTAAAGAAAGGAAAACTGATAAAATTCTGTAGGCTACTATATTGGATTCAAAGCAATGCCAGAGAAGAATTTTGCCTGTAAAAAAGAGAATATTTTTAGAAATAAAAACTTTTCATTTGCTGTTTTACTGGAGAGCATAAATGAAATTTTATTAGAATTTGCCAACAGTACTTGTAATAAAAAATACATGGCGTTACCTGGATAAAAAGCAAACAAAATATTCCTGGGGATTTCAAATGTGATCACAAGTAAATCTACAAACATGAAAAGGTAATTTCTGAATGAACAGAAGGCTTTAATGTAGGAAAAAGATCTTGCACACAAGCAAGCCTGTCGCTTTCAAGCAGAGGGCATCAAATGCAACCCTCAGGTAAAAGAAGCAAAACCATATCGACATCTCTATTACTAAAAATAGAGAAGCAAGTTTAAAGGCAAGAATACAAAGGGTGAAGAGACATACCTAAATGCTTTCACGCATCAAAATGTAATGTCTTTCAGAATTCCATAGATATTTCCGTACAGATAGAACAGCACTAGGGCTCTAACCATACTTACCTCCTCAATTTTCAGCAACTCCTTTTTGGAAGTCTCCTTCTCTGAAGAGGAAGCATAAACCTGGATAGAGAGCAAGCTCAGGCTAACAGGGGTGGCCCCCAGCCGAATTACCTACAAACATTACAGGAAGAGATGTAAATCATTAAGTTAAACAAAATGGCAACATGGTTGAACACATCCATGTAGACAATGTTTATGTTCCCGTATATGTTAATAAGTGATATATTAAGATGCTTAGAAGGTAGGAGAAAGGAGAGTCAGTGGTACACAATCTAATGCTCTCGGGCACTCAAATGATAACACCTAAATTATTCAGACGGTATTTAGAAAAGCCCAAGGCTAAAGGAGACAGTAGGTATAAATGCTAATCTCATCAGTTTTCATCTCACAAAAAGATCTTCTGTTTTCTCTCACTTGGAACATAACTTTTGTCAACTTTCTTAGTATAGATATTAACAACATTATATTCATATTTTAAACAACTTTGTGAAAGTCTGCAACACCTCCATTTTTCCATAGTTAGTCCCAAGAAGTACCAAGAAGACAATTACTTCTAGTTATTGTCTGCATCTAGATTTAGGAAAAATATGAGCCCTATAGTTGAAAGTATCAGACCATAATCACTGCTTTCTAAGAATTTTAGGAATGTCTCCTACTTTTCTGGGAGAAACATGAATTACAGCGCATCGTGACAGATGCTTGACTGTTTTTGAATACTTAAGATTCAATCCAGTCATACAACACAACCACCATGAGTAAGGTGAATATATTTCTTCCTATATTCAGGACGTACACTAAATTGTATTTCTTAACAGGAGAGACTGCTTTACCTCAAAAAAACAGAAGATAAAAATCTTAGCTGTGTAGCAAATCAAGAATGCACAGAAAGCATCTTCCAACAAATGCACATCCTTATCAACAGCAACGTTTAACTCAAGAAACGGCAGTTCCAATGGGAAACCTTTCAATGTCTCATATTCACATTACTGCTCAGGTAAACGTGCAGAGTTACAACAACCTGTGGTTCGTTGTATCAAGTTACAGCGTGAGTGAATCTAACAGCCTGCGGCCGCCAAACTGGAGAGGTCTGGCTCTGCTCGTGGCATCTGTTCCCAGAAGTCCTGCTGCTCATATTGCCCTAGCTTTGGTGGCCGGACGCTTCCACCGCGAGGCAATTCACCTCGCCAATTTGGCCAAAGATTAATCCTGAAAAAGAAGCGGAGAGCTTTGTGCGGGGTTAGTAAGTCGAACCCATCCATGAAACAGCCTGACAGGCACCAGGGGAACTGTGTGGCCAGGGAAGAGGGGATGAAAAAGGAGAAGGCAGCAAGCCCTCTTCCTTTTCAGAAATAGTAAGGGTACATTACATCGACCTAGCTGCTTGTGAAACTGAAGTCTTGGTCAAACCAATACATCCTTCATGCTGTTACGATGATAACTGACCTAGCATCAGGACAATTACTCTGAAACTTTGTTTCTGCCCATTGCAGAACTGTTAGAAAATAGCTTTAAAATTATCCAGACTATATGCTCATTGCATACAGATCAGCATTTGCAGCTTAAATTTCTTCTACTGCTTGGCGGGTGGAATATTTATTAAACGTAACCAAGAAAGTTCTCAAACTCAAAACTAGACTCTATAGTTGTCCAACTTCCTGAAAATGTTCATTTACGTGTAGAGAAACAGCACACAAGAACTAGGTCATAGGATTTATTTTCAGAAAGGCGTAAGGGATCTGATGGATCAAAAGGTATGGAAAAACTTGCTTAAAATGGAAGTTTTTCCTTATTTGTATTTACGGACTTATTATTACAGCACTATAATGAAACATCACAATGACCGGATCAGCTGTTTCACAGCCAAGGAAAGACATGAACAATCTTTAATAATCTTTGTTTAAACAAAGATTTTTCACATACTTTTATTAGCCAAGATAAAAACGTGAACGTCACCAACCATTAGTAACTGTAGAATATATTTCCTCATTCTTTCCTTTTTTCACTGCAAAACTGTTCTGTCACTGAAAAGGCAAAAATCTACAAGGCACTTTCATTCTGAAAAATATGCTTTCGGTAAAATATTACTTCCTGTGATTTTTGGAACATTTAGGAATGAAACACACAGCTAGAAAAGACATCAAGACATTCACGACTCCATCCATTTTCCTCAAAGCAGTTTCAAGTTTACTTAAACTACAGCTACCAGTTACCTGAACAGCCACATTCAGTGCAAATATTTCATGTGAGCCCAAATTTCAAACAAGTCCAAAACTACAGATAGCTTTGGTAGAGCAACTACTAAATCAGTGGCATATACTACACCCAAAAGAGGTTAGCAGCAGAGAAGGCTTTTGAAATAAGCCCTAAAAAACGCAACTTCAGCGAGAGCCACTCAGAGACAAGTGTCTAAAACTTAATTCCTGAATATGGCAAAAGTTTGTTACATGAATACACGTGCAGAGTTTTCACATCTTCTATTTAACATTTCTACAAGTGTCCCTTGCAGTAAGGAAAAAAAAAAAAAAGAAAAAACCCAACAGCAACATCAAAAATAATACTTTAATAAAGTATAATTCATTATTGATAACCTCTGTTTAGGAAAAATAAATCCAGTCTGATGCGTTAAACAACAGTTGTGGGTTTTGCTGCTATTCAACACCATTTATATTGTTTGAAAATTATCTAAATGTCACCAGCAGAAACAGTAAATCCAAATGCTGTAAATATCTGAGATTTGTATATAAAGACACACGCAAACAGCGGAGCATAAGAATGGAACCACCTTGGTTTCACAAACAAATATCAGTGATGACAGAACTACGCATACTGAAAACACCGTATTATCAAAACACTGAAGTGCAAACATTTTCCAAAGGTTTCATCTTTACATTTTAAACAAAACAAAATTAACCACTAATAGTGCAAGAATAATCTCTCCTTCAATGCACTGTTCAAGCTATACTGCAATGGTTTTCTACCTCAGCTAAGTTTGCGGGACACATAAACTTACAGATACAACCAGTACTAAAGTACCACTAAAAGGTTTATTCGGTAGTATAAAAGATTAACCATTCTACTTTCTGTTTCCAAAATTCACTTTAGGATCTCATTTCTTAATTTCGTATTAACCACGTATTACTAAACCAATTGGTTTAGTAAAACATTTTGATTGAGCTGTGCTTTCAGTCTGCCTGTCTTACAGCCACTCAGTTGATAGCAAAAAAGTAGAGCTGACGTTCTTCTCTCTAGGCAATGCTCTGCATTTACTTTAAGTAAAAAAAGATATTAAGTTTATTCCTTTCTCTAGCTGAAGAACTCAACTTTATCTGTAGACACGAGATCACTCATAAGCAAATTCCATCTGAAAGCTGGAGGGAAAAAGACTATCACATTTCATCTTCCGTTGTCTTGCTTTACTGTCTTTCTCAAAGTTCTTAACTAAAAAATGCCTGTGGGAAGAATAAATCCCATATTAGTTCTCAATACAAACGGGGGGGAAAAGAGCTAAAGATTAACTAGAACTTTTGTCTTTTTTTCCTCGTCTGTGGTTTCTCAGTTCACTTGTTACTGTTATTGTCAGCCTGTCAAAACTGGGGAAAGAAGCAATAAAAGGAAAAAAATCCTTAATCATACTTTTCTGAAGGCTGATATTTGCCCTCATGTAGGAAGGTGCTTCATTTTTCTCTTCTTTTTCCATTCTTTCCCCTATTTCTCAAGCCCAACTAAAAAATCCAAAACCCCAAAAAACAAACTCTTGCGCGCACTGCTGTTCCCTGAAGCACAGATATCATGGACAAGAAGCCACCTCCCCTTTTGCTCTTAGAGGCAAAAATTCGGGTTGGCCTGAAGCACTGGAATCTGCCTAACCTCAGTGGTTGTATAAAAGTAGTAATATTATGCATAGTACCTCAACCCACGGGTTCACGCATAACCCCTTTAATGACAATTCAGCGTCACTTGCGGAATTCACGACGATTATGAGATAAAATCCCTACGTAAGAATTCCAGCAATTGCCCCAACGTTACAGTACCAAAAAAACGAAGTTGCGACAACAGTAAAGCAAGCATAGGCTGCTCAGCCTATCAATATACCGACATACTATCAATATTTGACAAATAAAAAAGGTGCAAAAGAGAACGAATTTAAAAAACCAAGTGTCAGCATTTTTTCAAAAAACTCCTGCTTCTTGAGTAGTCATGACAACAATTTGATTGAAACATACAGCTTGCTTTTGGCCTGAAGGGATCTGGGGCTCTTCTTATCAGAGGCAAAGACCTTTGAGACAATTATCTGATTTAAGCCCAGATCGTGCACGTTCACCCTTTTTTCACAGACTCCGCCGACTCCCTACATGCAATAAAGGGAGACTTTCAAGACGAGGGCTTTCGCAACTGTAGGAATCCAAACTCTGCAAGAACACCAACTCGCAGCTCCATGCTGCCGTATTCAAGAAGTAATTTTAAATAAGGAACGTGGCGTTCGTGCGCTTCTTTTTGTGCGATGCAGATAGGGCACGCAATTTTGAAATCTGAAAGGGAGAGGTGACGGAGCTACAACAAGTGCGAGTCGAACAGCTGGCGGGAGCTACAGACCACGCTCTCCAAAACGCCCCGGGTACAGCTGCCGCCGGGCGATACAGATGTTAGAACGGTTTTAGCTCGAACGTGAAAAAAATCGTTCGCTGGTAACAAGGCCAGGGTCTTCGCTACCGCGCCTACCCAACCGAGTAACTAAAACCTGCTTTAAAACGGGAAGCGGGAGAAACGGAGCCCTGCCGGGCCAGAGC